TAAACGAAATTGTCCTTTTCTATCAATGCTTAAAGATGGCAACATGCTCACTTGTTTAAACGCACTCCCTGCGTGCTGTCTCCATTTAGGGCATATCTTGGAGCATTTAAGAGCAGTGAGAGCGTTCTCGTTGTAATCGGTTCGGATGTCGCCAACAGCCAGGCTCCATGGAGAGCGAAAAACATGATTGAACTAAACATTGCTCTGGGCTCTCTGTACCCTCTTTACCAGGTGCGGCGATTGCTTATGGTGTTCATTTATGGGACCACTTTGTAGCGCAACTTCCTCAACTCAAGAGAATGAAATCAAGAAGAGGATGAGGCTAAGTTTAATGGGCCTTTTGTGCCTTCGAAAAAAGGGTTGAGCTGTAGGCAAGATAATTAATTCGGCCGGTAATTAGTACTTGGAAGATGCGGTTTAGTGCACAAAAACTGAACACTGCAAAGTGCCAGTGCCCGTATGATAGGAAGTACGAAAAATCGAAAAATGTCCTAATGTCTTGATAATTCTCAAATCTAATGCCCGTGTTTTAGCCTAAGAACAGAACGAAAAAGTATGAACAATTTGCTATTTTTAATGCGTCGAGAGAAGTCATGAAGTTCTCCGAAGCCGTTGAAAATGGACGTAGAATCGCAAGGCACATAACCAGTGAGCAAGGTGTTGTCTGGAGCTACGCAAATCTTCTTCAATTGCTTCAATCTACTTTTCAAGACAATGTAATCCACTTGAACATCTCAGATTTTTGGCGTGCTAACAGTTCCACGGGTGAGTTCAAATACCTTTGCAATCACCAATCCGCCATTTCTAGGGCACAACAAAGCCCGTTTTGAGGGCTCAATGAAAGTTATACTGCTTCAGCAGCTCTTAGTAGATGTAAGGCACATTAATTGCTTTGCAGATAGGCTCCAAATTGTCATTTCACCTTCAAACCCACCTGGTGATTCGGCAAAACTCATTTGTTGTTTTTAAGAATAAGTTTGGTTTTTAATGGCATTCTGAAGATGAAATACGAGACAGGTGATTAAACGCTGCTCAGGTCGCATTCACGTTCTTTTACAAACCATTAATTACTTGTCATTTTAAATCTAGGTCCCATATTATAGCCCACATCTGGATTCTTCATCTGTATACAGTATGTTTCAAGGCAAAATTTCTTGACGAAGCTTCATATAACATAAAAGAATCTTAAAAATGAACCAGCGGCCTCAGTGGAAGAATCCCAAACCTATGTAATCACTTGATTTTCAGACAGGTCTGATTGAGAGAACTAATCGCTTCTTGTGCCCAATTTTGTGAAGGGCCCTCTCTCGAAGGAAAGATTTTCCACATGAAGTACAGGCCGGTTGACGCTAAAAGTGCAGTCGTTTTGATCACCAGCTGCTCAATTCGTCGTGGAATCGCCACTATTGCTGGGTTTTTCGAAACAATTCGATGGCTGCAACCGAAAGCTACTGAATTCCAAGCAGTAATTGGCTGTTTCGAAGGCAATCTCGATCCTCTGTCAGACCTCCATGGCAATTCGTTGAATGAGGTTGGTAGTGCTAGCTGCTCTAATCACAGGGTACTGAAGTCACTATCAACCGTTAACCGTTTTGCATGTGCTGCAGGTTTTCGGTATTCAAATGCCTAACGGTAATGCAGACGTCTACGTCATTGGCGCAGAGAAGGGAGTGTTAGAGCGAAGGGTAATGTGTCATTTCTGTCTTTACTGCTAAAGCAACTTCAAATCCCATTTTTGTGTCAAAATAGTGCCTGTTAAATGCATCTTCTTTTCCGTCTTTAGTTGTTCTTGTGTACTTGCGTTTGTTACCAACTGGATTTGTTGCTCCGATTTGATTCGTAACTCACTGAACCTATGCCAGAAATGCATGCAAATTCACGCAGTCGAATAAAACTTGACTGTAGAACTGGGCGTAGGCCGTCATTATCTGGGGTGCTTTTGCTTTGCCCTCCTCTAGAACTCGTATTACTACGGTCAACAGCTGGACTACGAATTTGGTCCACTAATGGATGATAATCGCGTGGCCAACTTCATCAAACAATCTGTACGTCTACTCAACAGTTAGCACATTGCTTTGCTTCAATGCCTTCTGTTTTCGAGTCTGCTTGTAAGAAAGCCTTCATATTAAATGCCTCATCCACATTGTTGATTCTCCCACAATACTAACAAGTAAGACAACAGAGACCAAATCGCTCCTCCAATTTATTGAGGCAACCATTTCATTGTATGCGCTTCTCGTTTATTTTAGATTCGTAAGAAGGCAGCAAAAAATATATTCTTCCTGGAGAAGGACGGTGAAGGAGATTCTGCCAGTCCACTGTATTCAACACCCATTGCAGGGCTTGTAAACCGCTATCTGCTAAAGCAATTCAAGCAATGGCAGTAGTTGCACCGCTCAGTTACTTTTTTTGATTGCACAATGTGGTCAAATGGATTTACGTGTTTTTCGTGTTTTTGGAAGAAGGAAAAGTAAACCCGAGGCGTCAATTTTAAGTGCTCTTCCCTTATCAACAATTGCCTATTCAACCTATAATCTCTCCCCGGCAAAAAGAGAAACCTTTTGCAAACTCCGAATCAATGCAATGACAGTTAAGCGAATGCCAAAACAAAGCCTCGAAGGACTTCCCCGAGGGCGAAAACATGCAGCAGAAGGGCTTGAAGCCACTACTATTGTGTAGAGGCTACCCCAAGGGACTCTCACCAAACACTTGAACCAAAAGTCCGAACATAAGGGTTTTGTTCAGAAGATGGTGAAGGAGACTCATTTGTCACCTTAAAATGGGCAATGGTTATGCTTCTTCGTGAGGAAACGGCACTTTTCGTTCCTTTAGAGGCGACATAACTCTCTTTGAAACACCTTTGGAAAGTGCAATCCATTCATAAAATATGAACTTTAGCAAAGCCTTTATAATTTTAACAGATTGAGGCCATGTGATCACGTAGATGTGTGCGTCAGTATTCTAAATTACAATTGACCAAAACAATAGTAACAACACGGAATGGAGACGTAAACCGTCGCGAAAACCTACTTTGCCGGCGTTGTCAGGATTCTTGGGAGTACAAATATAAAGAGGCAGTAAAAGGGTTGAGGAGTAAAGAACATTTCCTTATAATTCCTGGGTTAGGCAGTCACACGGTTCTGCAGCAGCAGTAGAGATCGCACCCCTCACAGCCTCTAATGCACATACTGGAAGGTTAGCTGAGTAATCAAAACTTTGCACGGCACGCATCTCCAGGTAGATGTCGAACCCGTCTCCACCCTTGGTCGGCTCTCGTGTCAGTTATCACATCGCAATCCGCACTGCGCGTCAACATCCTTCCACTGATCAACAGTGGAGTAGGAAATTTGAAGATAGCAAGAGGCATGAAGTTTTGTTCCACAAGACCGCCATAACTTCTGTCTTTCATTGAATGACTCAGGCTTTGGCTTATTGTTGGTACGACTGGAACCAGACACAAGAACAGACCCTCTCGCTCCCTTTGCTTCTCAAATAGTGCGGACTGCCATGCATTTTCTTCTTCTTTGTATGCAAAACTGGAAGGCTGGTGCGATTGGTGCATGGAAGTGCCGCACAGCCGCAACTGCGATGCAATAGTTGATGCGGGATCCAATCAAGGGTAGCGCTAAGTGCGAAGTCCGAATAGGGAGACGTGCTGCACACCGCCTCAGTTACTCTGCTAACCCTCCGTTCCGTATACGCCGATGCCATTTGTCCTTCCTTGTGTCGTCAGAAGAGGCTCAGACCACTAAATCAGAATGTCGATCATTGACACAAGCCTCATTTGTTTAAATCAATGGAATCTGCACAATTTCCTTAACATTTTCCCCATTTTAAATATCCATACATATCGTTCTTTGGAGACTGGTTCCAACTACTTTTAATTTATTTTCACAAACTTCGGACTGATGCAATAAAATGGTCCTTATCCATAAACACCGTGAAGCACTGATTTCACTTTTTGTGTAGAAAAGGCGATGTCCGGCACAATAAGTGGCGACGGTGTGTCATTTATCCATTCCGCATGTGACAGCGCCATGCACGCACTTGCAGGTCCAACAGTTTGTGTTTGTTCAACAGGTCAACATTCTGCCAGTAAAATGTGTTACATGGAATGCGGGGAATAACAATGAGCAACTGATTAAACAATTCTGAAGGCAATTTTTTGCATACAACTTAGCACTGTCATCCAAATTGAGGAGGTTTGTGAATGTGTTCTGAAGTAATTACGGATGCTGATCCAAAATATACGTGGCAAGTAGTGACAAACATATTCAACGATCGGAGCTCTGAGGCTTCTAATAAAAATTTTAAAAAATGCTGTTGTTGATGATGAAAGCAAAGTGACAGGAAGGAAAGAGATTGGGCTTCTTGCTTTTCTCACCCGGCAGTGGCAGCGTGGCTGCCTTTCCCTTCGTTCGAGCAAAGTCTCGGGCACTCTCCTCGAAAGAGCTCCCACACTAGCCATCACAACGTAGTCGGTGGCACGTGAAAGCGCCCACGAGCGAGTCGCGCCAACCATTAACGCCTCAGCGCCATCGACTCCTCTAATCAGGTTGAACTAGATGTGTAGCTTCTTTCGGCTTGAGAAATGGATTTGACAACTGGGGCTTCTGTTGATCGTCCGTTGTGTCCATGACCAGATGTTGGGACACTAATTAAGAAGTGACTAGCAAAAGGGAATCCAAGACTTAATGCATTCCATAAGTGGGTACGGTAAGGAAATCTCTGAAAAGAAACGTCTGCATATGCTTGAGCTGGTAACGGCTGCCCTATGAAACGCAGGACTGGGTGGACGTCGAGGTAGATAAACTTAATTTGCATTTTGAAGGTTTGGCAAACGGTGCGTACCGAAATAACGACCATTCAAAATTGGATTCCGTTTTTGATGTCAACAATGTAAGAGTTCCTAGCCTTCCTACTGAATACCAGGAGACGTAAGACTGGACGGAACAAACGCATTCTGACCGAAGCAAAAGTAGCCTCCCGAGGTTGATGTCACTCATACAGCCAATAGAACAAACGAATTAATATTATTGAATTATTATTATTATTATGTCTTTGTCGAGTTGGCATCAAAATACGACTGATCGTAAATTTTGTACCCCATTATCCATAGCCAACCCACTGTCTCACTCGTAGTTTCAACACGCTGTGCATCTGGTGGAAAAAGCAACAATGAATCTCATTTCACCAGCACATGCACTTGTCTCTTGTGTGTTTACATGATTCTCCACAATGTTTACTTTTTCCTAGGGTCATGCGAGTTTATCAGCTCTGCGTGGTAAGTAAACATCATCTCAGGTCGCGTAGGCCGCAGTTCCATTACCATCGTTCATGCGTGCGACACCCTTCCGTCTCTTCCTTCTTACCGTCCACCTTATAGCAGCGGAAGATGGAATTTTGGCACCTCTCAGTGAACGTGAAGTGGACCGCCATTGGGTCGGTTGGAAGCTAGAGTATGGCAGAGTGTATTCCGAGGAAGAGGAGGTCCATCGCAGGAGCGTTTTTGCACGAAATCTCCTTTATGTTAAAGGCCAAAATAGACGTTTTAATGCTGGTCTTGAGAGTTACTCAACTGCTTTGAACCAATTCGCAGATTTAGAAGTTAGCGAGTTTATTGAACGATTTCTTGGCACAAAAGTGGGGAGAAGAGCAACTACAAATCGTGGA